CTGCTTGCGCAGCCCGATGGTATCTCGCTCGCCCAGCAAGAAGGGCTCTGGATTCGGCGTTACGAAAATAATCTTGGGAATTTCTGAGCTGATTCCTTTCCATCAGCTGAAGGGAGAACCCGCTGCCAGAGGTAGGGACGACCCAGAGGGAGTTCTCCAGTCCAGAGAACATTTCTCAAACGTTTGGGGTGCTCTGAAGTGCTCCACGTCGAGACCACTGCCCTCCCCGCAGGACTCGCGCAGAGTAGCCCGGTGCGCTCCCAGCCGCGTGGAGATCCGCACGGGTCGGTCGCTGATGAACACGTCAAAGTGTTCACTGCACAGCTCACCCGTCGCCTGTCCCCCCCAGCGCCTGCCAAGGGGCTCCAGTGGGGCCACCTCTTCCCTACTGGGGCTGCGCAAGAGCCACACCAGTGCCCGGAGGGGTCTGCCCCATCGCCTCCCAGAGCGGGAGTGACGTTTCCTACTGATCCCTGGTCCTGGGACAGGATGGCAAAGCTTGAACAGACCTTTCATATCTCCCCTCTTTGCTCCCGGGGCCGCTCTTGCTTAACCAGTACCGTCTCCTTCCAAGCCGGGGACGCTTCGGCACTGGGTTCGGAGAAGCCAACATTTCTGCCTCTCCGATGGCAGTAAGATAAGTTCTCCGTAACCTCAGGCTTTTAGACAGAGACACAAAGGTTCACCCATTAAACTGCCCAAACAATTCCTCTTTCACCCAACTTCCTTTCCTCGGGAGACTTTACACTCCAAACAAATACAGTACAAACAAGCATTATCCCAAATCTTTAAAGGCCAGAAAGATCCGAGTTTTATATGCTCCAGATAGCAGAGACTGACATGGCTTCACTTTTATGATCCTGTTAAAGCACCAGTGAAGCCTACGGCAGGGCACCGGGGAGACCGGGGCTCCGGCGGCGCAGCAGGAAAGCAGGTGGGAGATTAACTTACCCTCTTTTGCATTTTTTGTAGACTTTATAAATGCTTTCCTCGGGAAGGCCATATTTCTCTGAAATCTGTGAGAGAAAACACGGCAATTCTTTGTACTTGTAAAGTGAAATTATCACAATGAAAATCACAGATGACGCTGAGCCAGGCGTGTGCACCAGCAAAGGACTCCCCCTCCCCTTTGCCTAAGGAAAACGGGCCGAGGCAACGGCCAGGCGAGTTTGACACGGCCGCGTCTTGCAGTGGGCAGCGGCTGCAGCTTGCCCTCGGCTCTTTCTGACGGCCACTGCCAGGCCAGCAACCCCGGGGAATAACCCTTCTCTCCTTCCCTGGCCTGTCTGGGGCTGGATGCGCCAACCTGCTGGGCGCAGGGAGCGCTGGGCTCTTCCAGTGCTGGTGCATCCAGAGGCAAGAGGAACTACGGGAAGGTCTACTTTCCCGCAGACCTCTCCAAGGCCAGCGCCGTTGGGTCTCGGGATGACAGGAGCTTTGTAGCTTTCCCACAGGCACTTTCTGCAGAGGATTTTGACTCTGTGGTGAGGGATGGGGGAGGGAGAATACGGCAAAGATTCCTTCGTGCTGACATTTTTCCAACCCTCTATTTTTAAAAGTTTGTAAAACCAACAGAGCTTAAAGTGCAGCCATAAAGCGCCCCCGAATCTGGGAGGTTTATTGTTTGTTCCCTTCCCAGCAATCTCCAGAGAGAGGTGGGTTATCAGAGATGCTGCTGATAATCCTCACAGAAATATGTCTGTGTGCTCCTCAAACACAGGGAATTCCAGCAGGAGGTCAGAATCGGCTTCAGGGTGCAGAGCTACAGCCCTGAGAGTGGAAAGGCTGCTCTGCCGTGGAAAAGACGGATGTGTCGGCCCAAGAGGAGCCTTACAGTATGACCTGAACAGAACAGCTTGCCACAGGCGCGTTCTCCCCCGCTGCAGCCCTCGCAGCCCATGCCAGGAGCTGTGGGTGGAATTCACCTGCCGCTCCCAATTTCCATTCTCAAGAGCGCGCAGACACGAGAGGGGAGCAGTCTCAGACCCAGCGTCCTACGCACAAGCCCCACTGCCCTTCGTCTGCAGCGTGCTCATGTGTCACAGGTTTCTGGTAACACTTACAGCTGTTCTGAGGCCCTGGAGATCTGGCGTCTTCAGCATGAGAGCGTCGAACACTTCCTCTGACTCCCTCCGCACGTACAACAAGACTGAAGGAGATAAAGAGCCCCGATTCAGCGCTGTGCTTCACAGCACGTTCCCAGCGAGATGCGGCCTCGTGGAATTCGAGATCCAAGGTTACTTGGATCGAAGGAGATGCTACATTCAAGAGGAGCTGCTATCCCGGGGGTTACCTCTCTGAGGATCTTCTTCCTTGGTTTGCTTTGGAGGAATCGGCTCAAACTCATCCGTGAAGGAGGCGCCGCTCCGTTTTAAGGGCAGCCTAAGCAAAAGGAAGGCGGTAGTCTCAAGAAGACAGAACAACAGCAGTGAACAAAACAATTCCAGTGATCCGACTTTTGGTTGAACAACCAATTACTCTAACAAACGTCCAGCAATTAAATATCGGCTGGGTAATTACGGCAGCATGGCCTCTACCGGGGCGTCAGGTCCCTGCCTAAGGCGCACGGGGCCGTCAGCCGGCGCAGGCAGCGCGTTTGGCACCACGTGGAAACAAAAGCCTTTGGCCCCTTCACGTCGCTGGTTTGCTGTCGCTGTCGCTAGGCAGCGGATCAAGCCCAAGGTGAGCACTGGTTCTCCCCACTCTCAACACAAGTGTGATTCCTACTTCATTCCCGTTTATTTTACAGCAGTGTCTGCCCCTGATCACTTGGACCCTTCAGGGATAGTTCTGTGATCCTTCTTTCCCCTTTTCCGGCACTGTCTCAACAAGAACAGCAGGACAGTCATGGACCAGACTCATCTGTGGCCCTGCACCCCTGGAGTCCATTCCAGGCCAAAGCTGAACACGTATTTTGACACTCAGGGACATCAGGGAGACACTGTGCTGGGTTGCTCTGCACCTGCAGATATATCCTGCCCATCGACACCCAACATCCACAGAAACAGAGCAGCTGATGGATGGGGAACACGAACTGCTGCATCCTTACCTGTTGGCAGAGTTGGGAACAGCAGGAGGGAGCACCTGGAAATGGGAAGGAAACAGGGATCTTTTAGTTTGCACAGTATCACCACAACGAAGCTGGGGGGGTGGGGCAACATGGGCACATTTTAAAGAGGATTTCCCTCCTCCCAGTCCATCATTTTCCTACGCAGTTAAACCCAAACTTGTGTGTCTTAGACGAAATGAAACCTGATGTAAAGATTCTCCTCCTCGCCCAGAAGAGGCCTGAGCATGTACCTAGCTAGACCCGAAAGCAGGTCACGTCTCATAACCTGCTGGGGACTGAGGACCACGTTTCTCAGCGAGTTCCTTGGTTGTAAACCAGATTCTGCCAGTCCCCGGTTTTGGAGCTGATGGATCCCTACAGCAGCCACTGCAGTGGTGTGACAGAACCGTCACAGGTGGCTTTCCCCCCCCTTTTGACAAACGGAGGCAGTTGTTCCTTGAGGGAATACTGATGAGCTCTGAAGGATGCTGGGTGTGGGTTTCCTCAGGCTCAAGGGGATAGAGGAGGGCAGAGGACAAGTGAGAGACGCCCTGTACACGCAGGGACTGACATGGTCACATTTTTCTATGGTTTACTTTCTGCTGCTACTTTTGCTGCCACCCCAGCCCTCTGAGGAAGCCGCAGGTGATGCCTGTGAACCACAGGAAGATGTGGCTGGAAGGAACCTGGAGAGGTTATCTTGCCCATCTCCTGCACGCCTAGGCCACTCCTGACAGCCGCATCTTCCAGTTCACCACAGCCCCACGGAGGAACTGTGGTTTGGTGTTTTACATAACAGGAGTCACGTCAGGGGGACGGATGGTTTGGAAACAATGGGGGTGACAGGTGAGGGCAAAAGGCCAGTTGTTTTTTTGAAGGGACTTACCGTGCCACACCTCTGCAGGTTTGAAAAATGGACGTTGGGGATAAACAGGACTGGCTGGGTTTCGAGGTCAGTCTCTGGCCTCAGGAACGTGATTTCATTCCCTCTGAAGCCAGAGAGCAAACAGCCTTTCAGACCTGCGATGGAAAGCCCAGTTCACCTCCACTCAGATGGCAGTTTGAGAGGCAACTACACGCAGAGAGGGGAGAGTGCGCACCCCGGGTGTCCCAGAAAGAAGAAGAAAGACAGGGCCCCGCGGAACCAGGAGTTCAGGGCTCGCCCAGTGCCATCCCCCAGGGAAGGCTCCCTGCCAAGGCCCCGGGGCAATTCAGAGAGGTTGGTTGGTATTAATAAAGGGCTCCGAGCATCTTGGTGGGAGAGTGAGCAAGGACCCGACTGACAAGCTCCTTCCGGAGACAAGCTCCTTCCGGATGGCTCTGATTTCATCAGGCTTGGAAATGCCCAGGGACAGACTTTGGGGAAGTTACTGGACAAGGCTACATGGGGTTCAACACACTTTGGATCGGTATGAAACACTAGCACTGACCATTGTTATTGGAGTCCAGGCATTTTCCTTTCCTTCGGAACTGTTTCCTTTCATCATCCCGCATTTTCCTCTCTGCTCCCTGTGGGGAAGAGAAGGCAAAAATTAGGACACTGACAGTGCTAACATTGGCAAGAGAGGGTTTACTGGCCGTCTCTGGAGGTAAGCACGTTGAGGTAAAGGCCCTTATTCAGAAATGCTCATCTCAGAGACTGTCTACGGGCCATCCCAAACCCTCTGGTACTTACAAATTAAAAATTGAAAACAAAATTTGCTTTTAAAAATGAAAAACACAGACAAAAATAGCTGTGAGAAGTTTTTCCACAGGAAGATTGCTGAGACTGGGGAAGAACCTCTAAAGAGATGCTCCTCTTCTGCTACTTAAAAACATGCCAAAACCAGAGTTTAATATGAGGCACAATCCCATGTCGGTCTGACATGGGGAAAACATCCTAAGGACTCTGTTCGACGAAGGCCTCAGCAGTGCTGACACATCCCCACTGTCCCGTCTCACTCAGCTGAGGGACCTTCTCTGTCCTCAGATCTAGGCTGGTCTAAACTCTCACATTCCTGGTTATCCTCCTGGAGCCACTGGCCACCAGTTCCAAATGCCTCTCGGACAGCCTGGTGGAAAAGCGCTGTTCTACCTTATCGCAGAAGATCTTGATCTGGCAGACGGCGCGGTGCACCAGCTGGCTGGCTCCGTTGCCGTAGTCGTACGTGTCTATCTGGAGGTTCAGCGGGACGCCTTTCACTCCCTTCTGGGAGGAGAAGTCAGTGCTCAGGCAATTCACCCCAATAAACACCTGCACATAGGAACAGAGATGGATACAGGTGGTTGGTGCTGAAAACAGCCATGAGAACAGTGGGCATGACCAAAAGCAGCTCCCGAGGGATCCTTCCAGCCCTCCCAACGTCAGCCAAGCTGTTGGTTCCCACCTGAGCACAACCACCTGTCCTTCCTAGCCAGAGCCTCCCCACACCTACTGCAGCTCTCTCCGCTCCATTGGTTCCAGGGGACATGCAAGGTCTGCCTGAGGATGTTCTTGCGGATACTTCCGATCTCCCGTTTGAACAAGAGACCCTGGGCAGCAATGCCTTGGGGGAAGGGAGAGGGGCTAGATCACAGCTTCAAGAATCACAGATCGTTGCTGCTAGTTAAAGAAATATTCATCACCCATTGGTCTCCTTTATCACCAGGATGGAGTTACCTCCAGTGGTAACTCCACTTCTCCAGTTTGAAGAAAAGCTGAGCACAGACATAACCCACATTGTATCTCCAAATTACCACCTCATTTGTGTGACCCTGAAATCTCCCCTGGACTCTCAGATTTGCATCTGGTGAAGCTCCCTCAGCCGGGCTCTGGCTGAGGATTTGGGCCCCGAAACCTACTGTCAGCTCTAGTCAGTTCCTGTGTATAGAAAACCACGTAACTGTGGTGTGAAGCTTAATGGGGAGAAGGTACAGGTGCTACAGACGCCCCAAATACCTAACCCCTTGCTCCCAGCCCTCGCAGCTCTCTGAAGTCGCACCTCTACCTGCCCCAGGCCAGTGCCTGTACAGAGTTTCTGCTAAGAGTTAAACCCAGTTTTGCCAAGGTGCCCGAGGGCTTGCCACATACCTGACATATTTCCACTTCTGACAACTTTGCCTTGAAGACACCTGTTAACCTCTTGGGTTGTAAAAGACCAAGGTCGCCTTTGGGCTTATTGAGATCCCAAGACAAACCCGAGTTTTCCCAAGCTACCGGCTTCAGAGAGATGGGGCATTTATGCTTTTCTGGTTTTCTCAGTTACTTCATCTTTTTTTCTGTGCTCCCTTCAACCCACACTCGGTACAAAGTGTTAACGAGAGGCTCTGAAGAGATGCAGAAGAGGCAGCAGAGCTGGAAGGATGCTGATATAAGCTTTACAGATCTTAAGGTGAAAAAGGATCTTGTGCCCTGCCTGTCTCCCTCCCACATGACACAGAAGGGTGGTCAGTCATTTCTGCATCAAAATGCTGCCTTGAAAGGAGGGTTCTCCTTGCCTAAGCTGTGGCTTATTTAACCAGGCTTCACCTACATGTGAGCAGAGCCCTGATCTGGGCTGCCTGCTGCAAAAGGCTGTCTTCAGAGTTATCCATCAGCACTAACAAAACATTTCTGAGCCAGTCGCAGCTGTACCAAGTGTTTATTAGCTAATGGCAAGGCCTGAGCACACAGAGAAGCATGGTGTCCTTCTCCTGGCAGACAAACACTACCTGGGGCCACTGGAATGGCCTTGTTTGGATTTGAAACTCTCTGTCTCTCAGCCGAGAAGCGGGGGAGAATGGCTGGGCCCTGAGGAAGGAGGCTACAGCTTTGCCGGGGAGTGAGGCTTCCCATATCCCTTCCACAAGCAGTTTGTACCTTTGCTTCTTCGTGGATGTTCCAGACGAAGGAGAGCGCGTTGTAAGCTAACTCCTCAATGTTCTGCACCGTGTTGAAGTTTTCTTTACAGTCAGCTGAAACGCAGTGGAGAAGCAGTTTAGACTCTGGCTGCAAACCTGGTCACATCCCTAGGCTTTCCGCTGCCCAAAAGCCTGCCTCTCACCGACTCCAGGGCTAAAAGAAGCCTAGTAATGTCACAGAGCCCATCCTTGGGACCAGTGGGTAAACCAGTACCAAACCTTTCCCAGCTCAGATTCCCAGACTCCAAGAGGCTGTGGGTCACATCTGTAAGAGCCAGAATTGCTTAGCAGTTCCTGTCTCTCTGGCTGAGGGTCTTTGGTGTATCTTGGTGTCCCAGCACATGTCCCTAATGCTTGGCAAACTCCACCTGAAGCCCACAGGAGCTCCTCAGCCAGACAGGCTCTGAAGCAGCAGATCAGCCAGCTCCTCCCCGCTTTCCCCCAGGACAGATTCTGGAGCTTCCCTGCAGTTTTTGTGTATTGGAAATGCAGTCAAACGGTGCCAGAAATCATCAACCCCTCCCCCAGCCACCGCAGTCAGACAGCCCCGTTCATACCGACGTCAATGACTCTCTGCTTGGCCGTGGGCTGGCGGGAATGCCAGTGCTTCCAGAACTTGAGCTGCTCCGTCGGGATCTTTTCGTTGTCAAAAACAATCATCACAACACTCTGTAACACAGCAAAGATGTCCCGTATCAGTATACACAGCAGGCTGATGCTTGGGGCCTCACTGTCCTCTCCTTCCAGTGCACCCATGCACCGTCCTAGGGCAGCTGAGTGTCATTGTTAATGTTTTATAGCTGGGGAAACTGAGGCAGACAGGGAAGGGACCTGAATGCAGGCAGGAAGGCAGGAACGGAGCCAGGAGCAAAACCTGAGATGCCCTGAATGCCTCCTAATTGCACAGCCCGTGAGTTTCCACGGACTCCAAGGCATACAAGGATCCTGCACTGGAGGAATGTTAGCAGTGCTGCAGCGGGTATTAGGCTGGCACAGCCTAAATGGTCTTTTTCTAGACATTCTCTGCTTCAGGAATCCTGTAAGTCTTGAGATGTCCCAGGTCTAACCCCTAAATACCACTCAGGATTGCAGGACCAGGTTTCTGGGAATTCAAGCTCAGCTTAGTCTCAGAGGTGGCTCTGAGGCCTGGCCACACATCCCAGGAGCAAGATGGGGAACCCCTCGCTCTCTCAGAAGTCTTCCCACCAGGACGCCCAGCCAGCCATCGGCTGCGGAGGCCTTTTGTGCACCCCCGACCTTACTGCGAGGGTTTCATCTGCCAGGTAACGCGAAGGCTGGTGCTGTGCATCAGAGGATTAGCTGGCTATGAGTGAATCCATCCCATTCATTGCTTTAAGCCAACAGGAGACACAAAGCCATTACTCTTCATGTTCAGCTCTGTTCCCAGGCCAGCACAATTGCTGGATGTCTGATTACAGCATGTGTCAGCAAAATTGTCAGCTTGTCTCTTACCTTCACTTTATTTGAGGACAAGTGTAAACATTTGCTGTCTCCAGCTGTCCGCAGCGTGATGGGGTAGAACTGTCCTTTGTTGAGGTAGGCCATGGGAGAGTCCCCAGACTTGATGTGAATGGCTTTGGGTGACCCCAGGGTGTATTCAAAGTCACTTTACCAAACAAGGAGAGAACGGTGAATAAGCACACGCTGCTGTTTCACTCCAAAAGCAAAACAAGAGAAATGCCAGTCTCCACCCCACAGACTCTGTGCACACAGGAGGCTCTGCCCTGTCCCCCCTCTTGCATGTCCCTACACCATCAAGCACCTCCCTGCACTGCACATACTGATCCTCCCCGACACCCTGGGGAGCAGCAGGTCTCTGATATCCTCGCTTTACCCTTTGGGTTTGACTTAAACCCCTCACCCTGTACATTACTGTAAGCAGTATTTTTCTGTGGATGGCTACAGAACCACTGCACAATCAAAAGCCTAAACCAAAATAGGCCCTTGTGATGAGCTTTTTACAACATCCAACTCTGATTCCTGCCTCCAAATTCACACCCATAAATGGCTGACCCAGGAAGACTGTGTCCTAATGGGTCCTGGAGGAACAGGGGGACCTGCAGGACACTGACACCTGCTTGTTTATCCAGGTGCTTAAAAACGGGCACAGGAGCCCAGCTTGTTGAACTCCCAGTCTGGTGAGCAGCAACTTCAGTCTTTACCGAAAGGATTTGTAGTGCTACACAGAGGAAGGTGTCACTGTTGACAAGCAAATTTAAAAGAAGAGCCTGACTTTCAAGAGGCCCTGCTCTTGGGCATTCACCAGCACCTACCAGGGTTCACACCAGGAGGCCATAGCTCAAGCTGTTTTCTTCTCTGAGGAATCTGTGCGAGCCACCCCCCGTAGCAAGCCTTCACACAGACCCTGCCAGTGCCCTGGAGTTGGGGATCATCATATTCCTGTTTAGTCACCAGCCCATCTCTTATTCCTGTGCCACCTCCCCTGTGATGCCACCTCTGAAGATAGGCTTGGCGACTCCTCTCATCCAGAGCCAGGAGAGCCAGAGCACTTCAGTGCACAAATAAGCAGCAAAGAGAAAGCCTCTCGCTCAAGAACACGAGTTGCTGGCTGTGTGAAAATCCCCACGTCTGACACCTGAGTCACTGAGTCAGGTGACTCAGGAGGCAAATAAAAAGTGGGAGGTGAAATAATGTTACCTACATTATGTGTTTGATAGGTATGATGTGGTACCTAGAGCAGGAAAGCTCTGCCTGAGAGAGGTGGAAAGGAGGAAGAATCCTCTCTTGTGTTTTAGCACCGAGGGGCAGTGGCACCTTCTAAAATCAAGGTTGGCAGTGCTAAACCCAAAGTGAGAACCTAAACGTTAGGTTAAGAAGCTGCTTATCACCCTCATCAACTGCCATCCTCATTTTCTATGTCACTCACCCCATTCAAGCAGCTTATGGAAAGATCTGTAGCACGGGAACCAAGCCGTGCCCCCAGGGAAGGGGCTGTAAAGCACAGCCAAACTGCACAGGGAAGGTGTCAGTGCCACACGTCCCCTCCTGCAGGTCAGGCTGCTGATGAGCTGTGGCCACAGCAGTGGAAGCCGCCAGCCCTGGATTGACACCAGTTTGGCAGAGTACAGTCCGAACCACACGCCTCTCAAGCTGAAAACATGAACTGGCACAACTGCATCGAATAACTTGAATTTAAGGTTGGCTTTGACTCCTTTGCAGCAAAACATTTCAAGCCCTAATCCCCGCTTCATCCTACAAACGCTACAGTTCATCACGGCTTTGTTCCTAAAAGGTCATGGAACAGCAAGGCCCCAAGGGAACACAACTTGTCTCTGCAAAAGCACGAGATGCGTAAGTTTGCAGTGGTCATTGTCAGACTGCTACGGGGCGAGGAAAGGGATGCCAGGCTTCCCCCAGCAAAGGGACACAGCCAAGTGCACCGGAAACCCAGAGACCACAGATTGGCAGTTACCTCTTAACACCGTCCGTAGCGTAACTCTCGGGGCAAGGGGGCTCTGGCTGGGGTTTGAGGATGTCACTGAAGAGCAGCGACTGTAAAGTGGAAACAAACCAGTCAGAAGTAGAACCTTGTGTTGCTTTGTCCATCCACCTTCTCCCAGACATTATGACAGAGGCCACAGGGAAAGCATGGACCCTCTTTCAAAGCCTCATCCTACTTTCAGAATCAGTGTAAAGCCCCCAGCAATTGAGTGGGGATGGCATCAAGCTTCTAACACAAAAGCAAAGCTCCCACTGACTCCAGCATGAACAAACCCCAAACTAGACAGCGTCCTGCAACCCCCAGGCTGCACCGCCAGCACGCGGCCCACTGACGGCTCTGACCTCCTGGGGGTCCTCCTTGAAAGTGCTGTCTGGCTGCCACCTCTGCTGTGCTGGGGCTACGGGGATGGTCTCGAAGAGGGAGTTCAAGGAGCTGTTGTCGTATACATCCCCTGGAGGGACCATGTAGTTGTCTGGGGTGGCATCCAGCTTGCTGGTGCCTGGCGGAAGCATGGCTGGCTTGTGAGGAGTAGGGACGCCTTCAAGGCTTAAGCCGTTCTTCTTGTGTGGCTCACAATACTCTTGGGTCATGGAAACGTTTTCAGACAAGAGCTTCATGAGGTGTGCTGAGCCATCAAAGGATGCGATCTCTGGGTCGTACTCCATTCCGTGGCAGTGCCTGGTGGAGAAAGGGTCCTGTCTCAGAGCAGGGCAGAGGGCGGACAACCCCAGCAAGTTGTCACAGCATGAAGCAAGAGCCTTGATGTGCTGCTGGGCAGCAAACTGCAGAGTCTAGTGCCAGGTGACCTTGAGTCAGCCGTGTGCATCTGGGAGATCTGAGAGGCCCGTGGGTGATCTCCGTCCACACCCTTCCCTCTCAGTGCAATCAGCCAGAGGTGCTCAGCAGACAAGGGATGATCACACAGAATCAGAGAATACGGTTTTGACGTGGTTTGGGGCTGCAGATCTGGGGTCTACATCCATTAGTTCTTTATTTAGGCTACTAAACACTCAGAGCAGCAGGGACAATAAGAAAGATAACAGCTATGTTGTCTTTCTAGCTTAGTGTTTTTAAGGCTCACTGATCTTTTAAAAATGCCCTTTGTACAAGCTGATTCTTGTATAAATTCACAAATTCCAGGAGTTTAGGAAGCACAACTCCCAGAGAACATGGGGTCAGTGAAAAATTGACAGCGCAGCGGTATTGGAAGGGTGGTGTATGGCCCAGACATCAGAGCAGAAAAGACTAAGGATAGTTGCTATCAAGTGATAAGGACACGTACAAAAGTGCCCTCCTTTTGCACATGGAAACCATCCCTTTGTGCAGCATCCCCAGAACTGGGCCCCTCTGCAGTGGTGACTGTGACTCTGCTGACACCGCAGCCCTGGCTGAGCTGGGAAAAGGTGCCTTATTGCCCCTGTCGCCATGCTCAGAAAACAAACCCACCCCCACATCAGCTACCCGCACACCTCTTGGCAGCATGAGCTACCCCCAGGGGAAGTAAAGCTGAACGAGTAGCTCCCACCCACTCTGTTTCGAGAGCTTCACCTTCAGGTATGTGCTGAGATCTCCATAGTTATGAAAAACCACTGTCCAAGACGCGGTGGCCTTTCAGAGTGGAGAATACGGCTGAACTCAGCTTATTTATGAGAGTGAATGAAGTATCGTTCAAGAGGCTTATTCTGTCAATTAGTTAAAAACAGACAACCAGAAAAGGTTGCCAAAGTCCACAGCATCCAGGAAGGGGAACTGAACTCATAGTGGCAAATGAGCCATTAATTTAATAGTTAATTATCTGAAAACCTCAAAGGACAAATGGGAGTCACTGGAAGAGAATCCTGGGAGACTGGAAGCAAGTGAAAGAGAAATCCTTATCAGGCTAGTGAATGGAAGAGGACTCGGTCATTCCCATCTTGCTACCAACGCTTACTCCCTCTGTCCTTTCCAATTGTCACAAAACAAAGACAAATTCTTCACATTTGTTTCTGCAAATCAGTGCAACTCCTCTGAACACAGCTAGACAGATCCTCAGTTGTGTAAATGGGTGTAGCTCAATTTATACCTGTTTGGGATATGGCCTAAAGAATTTTAATATATGTCTCAGGGTTAATAACCTCCACTGTTGCTGGTAATAACACCGTGCTTTGATGTCTATTTTATGCAAGCTAAGAGACCCATCATGCATGCAAGCAGCTGCAGGAGAATTAGACAGCTACAGAGAGGAAAAAATGAAGCTAACCTCTTTCCTAGTTCATTGCGTCCCATCATACCAGATGGAAGAATCCTCTTCTCCTTTGGGACCTAGAACAGGGCAGAACAAAGAGTTTGTTGATTGTTAGATTTTAGTAATGGAAAACAGAGGCAAAATAAGCCTTGTCTGCGGAGCAAGTGAAGTCTCCTAGATAAAACACTGGGTGAATAATAAACACCGGGTAGAACACAGGAGACCTGGGCTCTCTGGCTGGTCCTGCTGCGGATTCCCAAGGTAACCTTAGGCAAGCCACATCATTTTGTTCTGCGAAGGTGAATGGGAACATCAGTCCTATCGGTTTCAATTAGGGCTAAATCATATCCACATTTCCTGAAGCCCCATCCTACAGCAACACTGGAAAAATAAAGATGCTAGGGTCTGCAGGGCACCTAGCTGTTCCAGATCCATGTCCCTCAAAGCACTCCTGTTTCCTACATGAAAGCTGTCAGGTAAAAAAACCCCTCCAGGCTGAGACTGAAGACACCCAGGTTCAGTTTTCCACCCTGTTCTGTGTTCTTTCTATAGTATAATGGTGTTTTGTGCCTCAGTTTACCACCTGGGCACTGGGGATAATAGCAGCACGATGCCTGGGGGTGTTACGAGGTTCATTGCATGGACAGTGTGGAAAGCTCAGGAGATGGGTACCCTCCCGTGGTGGCTGAGCACCTATTTAACCTTCACACTCTTCCTCTGGGACAGACTCCCCCAAGACACCCAGCCCCCGTGGGAACACACCATGTAGTAGTCATAGAGGAGGCTCAGGGCAGCCACGCTGTCGTCGTCTCCGTTCACCCGCATCATAGCTTTGGTGGCTGCCGTCAAGGGGTTCTCTAGGTAGGTTTTCCAGGCTTCATCTTCGTTGGTGTAGGAGAATTTCTGGAAGTTCATGGTGTCATTCTTCATCAGACGCACAGACCTAAAACTGAGCCAGACAGAGGAAACGGAATGAAGGATACTCATTTTCCACAGCAATTTCCATGCCACCCAGCTGAACACACTGCCCAAAGGCACTGCTGGAATGGAGAAGGATGCTTTCCAGGTCCTTAACTCCCAGAGTCTTTGGGATTATCAATTCTTCTGCCTGTAGCTATGTACACAATTAGGCCAGAGACTCTTTGGCGGGGCTGCGCAGAGGCAGACGTAACTCTGCTTCCCTCCTCCTTCTCCAGGGATGCAAACCAGCACAGCACCGTCGGCAACTACCCCCCCCTCCGCAAGCACATGCTACCAGCCCGCCAGGTCCAGCACCGTCAAGGCGGGATGTGGGTCAGTAACTTGATGCAACACAATCGGGAGGTTTAGCAAAGTTTTCCCTTGGATTTGGAGCTGGAGGCCAGCGCTGGCCACAGATGTAAGTGACCACGCCGCGTTGAGAGAACCTGACCTACCCGGGCGAAACCAAAACCCGTCATTTTTCTTTGCTGTAGTTCATGGGGTTTAAGTTTAGTTCCAAAATTAGGTTTTTTGCAATCATTTGCGTATGATTTTACTTAGAGGGAAGTAGTCAGGCACATCACAACACCCTCCCTTCCACTAAAAAATTCCTGACAAAGGTGAGGCTCATGGGCCTACGTGAGCTGAGAAGCAACATACCAAAATAATGTCCCGCCTGTCCTCTCTTCTGGCACTTTCTCCAGGTCTCTCCAGCTTATGTTAATAAACTGTCAGACACTTAATTACCCAAACATTGGTCATCTTTCCTTTTCCTCCAGCAAATCCTACTAGCAGCCAGCACAAGCGCCTCCGCACATTCCCCGGATGCTCCGTGCCGCAGGTTCACCCGCTCGGAGGATGAATCAGCGGCCATACTCCCGTCACGTCCTTCAGCCACGCGTCTACGGTGTCACCACAACAGCTCACACTATTTGTCATAAAAAACAAGCTGTGTGGACAAAAATTACCTTTTCATCACCACTCGCTGAAAGGGCCAACTGGTTTTTATTAGTGGAAGAAGTTTAAAAAAAAGGTAAGAGGAAAGATTTCTTTAAATCTCCAAGTTGCCAAGAGCAGAACTTTAACAATTGCCCATTTTTTAATGGAGAGGCAGAGAAAATCTACAGGAATTTAGGTAACGAATGCTACATTTTAATGGCATTTTTATAAGGAATAGGTTGTTTCCATTAAGCTTCTCTCCACATGTTTATAGTAAGTCCTGGGCTAGACTGTTAAGTGAATCATTCGGAGAACAGTAATTCCTCTTGAAAGGAATCTGGCATCTCTGAAACTCCCAATTATTGCTAACCACGACAGACACTGCCGGCCCGTTTGGTGCGAGCTGCCCACGCTGACAGGGTGAAAATCCAGGTGCTCAGCGGATGCTCCTGGGCTGGAAACTGGAAGGGTGCGGAGGTGGACCTTGGATGGGGTAGAAGATGCTGGTCCATCGTCCCTGGCAGCTCAGCTGAGGCGGCTTCACTCCTGCACACACACCAAGCTCTCACGCTGCCACTTCTCCAGCTGGGAATACACATTTAAACTGGGCACAGGCAGTTTTGGGATGCTCCTCGATCAAACTCAAGAGCTCTCCTTGGCTGAGCAGAGCGGCAGCCCTGTAAAGGTACACAGTCTCTCCCAGAGCGGCGCAAGGGCCACCAAGGGCCGTCTCTGCTGTCCACGTCACCTTTTTGTTAAAGAATAGCTGCTTCCACACAGAGTCCCTCCACATCTGAGCTGCAGAGAAGCTGGTAACAACTCTGCTCGTGGCCTGAGGCACCCAATTCCCACTGGTTTCTACCCCTGCCTGGCAGCAGGTACCTGAGCTCGGCTTGGTCCGGGGAGCAGCTGCCTCCGTGTTCCGGTTCTGGCCGCCACCAGCTCCCATCAAGATGCTGAGCTCGCCTCTCTTCTCCCTCGCACGCTGGGATGAGGCACCAGCACCGGTTTCACCCCGCGCATGAAACTTCACCAGGTGCTCTGAGAGTTTCGTTGTCTTTAGCATTTCTCACGCAGCCCTCCCTCCCTGTCAGTGCCACTGCTGTCTCCAAGGCGAGCAATCGGCATGACTCAGATTTCACTGCTGTCGACTTGGCGATGGGCTGTTCAGTCCTGTCTGGACAGGAATCCTCACCCGTTCTCAATCCAATCTTCTCAAGGAAGAATAGGCAGCAACACGGCTTGCTCTCAGGGTGAGACTCAGCTCCTATCACTTATAATCAACATAGATAAACACACCATGGTAAGATGTAGCAACAAATCATTCAGGAGCTTAAAAAAGCACAGATATTACAAGGAAAAATGCTTTGGAGCTTTCTTCTCCCTCGCCCCAGCCCTCAGCTGAAGCACTCCTCGTTGTACAACTCTGCTCTGCCTCGTCACTTCGGCACCATGACCGCACGCTCGGGCAGCTGCTGTTTTAGCGTTTTATCACCTGGGTTGCAATCTGCAGGCAGAGGAAAGGGGGTGGGGGGCGCTTGAGATCTCCACCACTCTGCAATCGTGTTCAGTTTGTGACAAATACAAGTTTGCACTGGTCCCAGTGAGCTTGCACCAGTTCACCCAGCTGGGGACTGGGACAATGGCGACATGATGCAGGGTCACAGGTTTATTCCATCTTGTTTCTTTTCCAGAGTTTATAGGATCCCTCACAGTCACGGAAAATATTTGAGTGGAAGCAGGTGACTGCTCCCAGATAACTCTGCAGCTGGGACAGCTCTGCAGGTGAGATGTAACGCCGACTCTATCCCACCTTACTTTTCCTGAGAGGCCTGCCCTGCTCTGAGCCTATTCTAGAAGAACAACAGGGCTAACCAACACCTGAAGAAAGAGGGTGATTTGAGGAGGTAAGCAGAGATGATGACATGTTTTTGTCACCTTTTTCACAGCAGATGTATTTCAGTTCGTGCAGCTACAGCGTACCGCCACCTCGGTTTACGTCCAACTCAGCATTAGCAATCTCTATGACGTAGAGCTGCAAGAGAGACGTCCAAATCCAGATCCAAACACACGTGAACTTCCCTTTCATCACTCCCTGTGGTGCCCTTTCCACGTGGCCATGCCGTGTTTGCCCACTGCAAACTGTCTGCTCTCTGTTTGGCAAAACAAGCTTCCCTCTCCCCGGCAGTCAGCTCGGACAAAGCCAGGGCCGGTCCGTGAAACACAAACACGTGGGACCGGCGGCTGCCCTTGTGTGCACGGACTCACCCCTCGGAGCCTGGGGGTCATGTGCAAAGCAGGGCACAATTTGGGGAAGGGAGCAGTCTATTTGTTTCCAAACAGTTCAGAATTTGACACAAGGTGATACCAGCTCCCTATCCCCACTCCATCCCACCCAATCTCTGTTTCCCCTATTTATCTGCCAAGTCTACCATAACAGTCGCCTCCTGATGATGAATAAACACTCGGGGCTATGCTGCAACAGGAGAATATGCCCAAAGGGTCTAGGTGGGGAGATCAGCCAAGCAGGAAAGAAACACTTGTACTCCTTCTGCCTTTTGTTGGGTTTCAGTGGGTGGTTTTGCCGGCCTTTAAGCTTTGTGTTGCTTGTCTTTGTTCTCTCCCCTATAACCGATTAAGCCTCCAACCTAAATATTAGCCATGCCAGACGCTGATGGCTAGAGACACATCGTATTATCAAAGGAGCAGAGAACCTATGGCAACCAGGAGCAGGAATTCAAAGCCACAGAACAGAGACCCCGGCCTGCAGGACTTCAGAGACAGCCCAGGCAACTCTCACAGCGGCTTTCCTTAGCTCGGGCTTTGCGTGTTGCACTCCCCTCCCTATTGACACAACCCTGATGTTCCCCGAGAGCCTCTAATCAGTCATACGGGGAAGGGCCTATACTACCCGTGAGCGAGCAGGGCCGATGAGCAGCATTTATCATGCCTGCTTCCTGGGGTAGAGATTTTAGCCAGGCCCCTTTGCCAAGGAAGAAGAGCATTCCACGAAGTGGCCTTGTTACTACATCCAAACTTCCCAGCTAAGTTCTGATTTTACTCTGTCTTTGCAAGAGTAATAAATAGGCCCATCTGAAAACAATGTGACGGTACAGCCGTCGGTAAGCGCACTGTCAGAGGCCCACTCACAGGGTCAGGCAAAAATCCAGAACAGAGACAGAACCAGGAAACAAAACACAGAAAGAAACATAACAAACACACAGACTAGTGATGGAAAATATTGCCTAGATGCCAAATACAATAAAGTGTTGATCCATGGGCATCAAAGGCCTAGGAATTCACTGATCTCATGGATCCTGACCTGCACTGCCTACAAGATTGAAATACCTTCTCTGGCAGTGGGATAACAACGTGGCCTCTGTCCCTGGATTTCTTTAGGGGCATTTCAGCAGCACAATCAGCCTCGGGGTGGTGCAGGATGTTAGCACAACAGCTAGATCATAGAATCATAAAATGGTTTGGGTTGGAAGGGACCTTAAAGATCATCTAGTTCCAACCACCTGCCATGGGCAGGGGCACCTGCCTCTAGACCAGGTTGTTCCAAGCCTCATCCAGCCTGGCTTTGGATACTTCCAGGGATGGGGCATCCACAGCTTCTCTGGGCAACCTGTTCCAGTACTTCACCACCCTCTCCAGGAAGAACTTCGTGATATCTAATCTAAACCTCCCCACTTTCAATTTAAACCCATTACCCCTTGTCCTGTCACTGCAGGCCCTTGTAAAAAGTCCCCCCCAGCTTCCTTGTAGCCCCTTCAGGTACTGGAAGGTGCTATAAGGTCTCCCCAGACCCTTCTCTTCTCCAGGCTGAACAAGCCCAATTCTCTCAGCCTTTCATCATAGGAGAGGTGTTCCAGCCCTCTGGATGTTTCCTTGCCGTCCTTCGGTTCTGCTTCACCCACAAAGACAGCACAAGTCTCTCTTTTCCTGGAAGCAATGGCCTGTGTGGCACAGGCATGAGACAAGCTACCTGCAGCGCACTCGCCAGAGACCCTGCGCAGATGCACGCCACAGGGCATCTACCT